ACTTTCATACATTCAGTCAACCCTCATTGAGTCTCCTGTGCTTATTCACTCATTTGTATCCGACTCTGACCCTTTGGACTGTCAACCCTCTGTCAGTGGGGTTTTTCAGGCAAGGATACTGGAGTGGGTTGCCATTTCCGCCTCCAGGGGATCTTTCTGACCCAGGGATTGAACCAGAGTCTTTTGTGTCTCTTGTATTGCAGGCCGATTCTTTACGGATGAGCCAGCCATCGGGGAAGCCCTCCTATCTCCTGGCATATTTATTTCCACCATAAGGAAGAAAAGAGAGGTAGGCTTCCAATCTGTGCGCAATTCTCCTTGTATAGGCTGAAAGGATGATTGTCTTTGGATAATGTCGAGACTGCAAGTGGTTGCTATGCTTAAGATACACTTGCTATGAACAACGTGAAGAGAGATCTTTTTAAATATTGAAGTATAGTTGATTTACAATATAGTTTCAGGTGTACAGCCCAGTGATTGAGTTATACATATATGTGTACATGTTCCTTTTCAGACTCTCTCCCCTTATAGATTATTGCAAAATATTGAGTATAATTCCTGTCCTATACAGTATGTTGTTGGTGGTTATTTGTTTTATATATAGAAGTGTGTATATGTTAATCCCAACCTCCTAATTTATCCTTCCCCACAAAAGTATCTTTAAAAATAAGTTAATAAACACAACAATCAGATCTGAGAAATTTTAAAAGTTAAATCATGACTCTTATACAAATATAAACACATGTCAAAGATTTAACTCACTAATTTATGAGGGAAAAAGTAGGTAAGATGAATGATACAAGTGGTTCAAAGATGAATCCAAAAGACAGGTACATGTAGGCAGTCAGGAATGCTGCCAGTGGTTAAGACTACACTCCCAATGCAGGGGGCATGAGTTCAGTCCCTGGTTGGGGAACTAAGATCCCACATCCCACGGTGTGGCCAAAAAATTTAAAAAAAGAATTTGTTTAATTGAACCAAATCGAAACTGGCTTCTACAGTGGGTAAGTCAGTTGAATTTCTGCCAGACAAGTTTCATTTGAATGTCAGAGATCGGTGGGCAAGAATTGTTACCATGCAGGTCAACTGGACTTGCATGGAGACCTCTTGTCTTTTTCCTGAAAGCGGTGCTGAGAGCGGAATCACACAAGCTATATTCAATGGCCAAAGGATGGAAGGGGGGAACCTAGTTTGCAAATCAGCTTTCAACTCCATTCTGGTGGAGCCACCAAATATATTAGAAGGTGAAGGTTAAAAGGAAGGAATTGGAAGGAGTGGAAAGAATATTCCTGACTTACTGGAGAACAGGGGTGTGGTTTGGACCTGGCACTGTTGCCCTCTTCCCTGCAGTGCTTGTACGGGCTTTTTCAGTTGTTGTCCTGGCAGTTGTCAACTGTCCTGGCACTGGTGAGAGTGTCATTTAGTGTGTGCTAATATATTAGAGTGAGCTGATAATGAGACTCAAGGTCCACTGGAGGAAGCCAAATCTTCCCCAGTCTTTGGCCTAGTTTGTTCTAATCAGTTCTTGTTACTTTTTCTCTTTGCATCTTCCTCCTGAAATGTGCGTGCTTGTGGGTGCTCAGTCGCTCAGTCATGTTCAACTCTTTACAACCCCATGGACTGTAACCCACCAGACTCCTCTGTCCACGGGATATTCTTAGATAAGAATGATTGCTTTTGGAGTTCTGTGGTGGTCCCAGTAGTTAGGGCTCTGAGCTTTCACTGCAGGAAGCACAGATTCGACCCCTAGTCAGGGACTAAGATCCTGCATGCTACATGGTACAGCCAAAAATTTAAAAATTAAGTAAATTAAAGAGAAAAAACACACTGATTTTATTTGAAGGAGGGGCAAGGGTAAGATTCTGGGGCAACAGCCTTGGTATAGAATCACTTGCCTTGCTGCCTATTCTCGAGAACCTATAGAGTTGGGACTCCCCTGTTGGGTCCAGTGGCTGGGACTGCGCACTTCCAGTGCAGGATGACCAAGTTTGATCCCTGGTCAGGGAACTAGATCCCACACACTGCAACTAAAGATCCCAAGTGCTGCAACTAATACCTAGTACAGCCAAATAAATGAATAGATAAATAAATAAATTTTAAACCTATAGAATGGAACTTCCCTCATGGTTCAGTGGTTAAGAATCCGCCTTTTAATGCAGGGGACATAGGTTTGATCCCTGGCCTGGGAACTAAGATCCCGTGTGCTAGGAGGCACTTAAGCCCACACACGCCACAGCTACTGAGTCCCTTCACCACAATGAAAGGTCCCTAGTGCTGCAGCTAAGACCTGATGCTGCCAAAAAAAAAAAAATCCTATAGAGTTAGAAATAGCTTAAAGCAAACAAAAAGATCCTTAGACCCAGATAACCCAAGGGTGTGCACGACAACACCTAGTTGTCCACTGAAGACACACAATAATTTTGTGACCCATTTCAAAGTCTTTCACAAAAAGACTTGTAATTCTCCTCAGCCCCCACACTTGTATGGACTTGTTTACTGTAACTTGAAAATTGCCCTGTTGCTAAAGGAAAAAGCGTGATGAAATCATTCATTAAAATATCTAACAGGATGACAACAGTTGACAAAAACAATTCAACTCTTATCAAGGATTTTCATCTCTTTCTCAATAGACTTGATATGTGGTCTTCTGCAAGTCATTTCCCTTCTCTAAGCCTCAGCTTTTTTTAATCTCTAAAAAAATACAAGATTAGACTTGATTTCTAAGGTTTCTTCCTGTTTTGAGACTGTGGTTCAACACACTTTTTTTTTTGTCTCTCCTTGATTTCTTAAGGCCCATGGAACCAAACACCTGCCATTGGACGTCCTCACAGGAATGAGGACATCTCAGCCCCAGGATCAGTTCTGTGTATCCATCAGGAGCTAGTGTGCAGCTAACCACTCATCCCACGAGATAGTTCTTTTAAAGTGGAGCCTCTGTTCAACCACATGGAAAGATGCTCAGCCTCATTCAAAGTAAAAGGAATGAATGCAGATTTAAAGAGTATCAGGAGATCCCATTTTTCACCTAGTCAGTTGATGAACATTAAAGTTTGGCGATTCTGTGTGTTGGCCAGGAAGACCAAATTGGTGCAATTGTCACTTTACTCAGCTTTTTGCAGAGCAAGATAGAAGTATGAATCACAAAAATTTAATTGTATTTACCCTTTGACCCAACAATCCCACTCAGCAATTTATCCTCCAGATAGAGTCCCTCATGCACACAAAGATATTTGCACTTCAGTATTTACAGTAGAATGTTTGTAGAAGCAAAAAACTGCATCGCCCTATATGATGTCAGTATATTAAGTAGAGTATGTTATACATAGGAATGGAATACTGTGCAGTGATCTTTGAGGTATATTAACTCTATGATGTCAGTTCAGTTCAGTTGCTCAGTTGTGTCTGACTCTGCGACCCCATGGACTGCAGTACGCCAGGCTTCCCTGTCCATCACCAACTAACTATGGTGTAAAACTGTGTATTTGAAAAAGAAGATCTGGGGAATATATATGTTTATATATACAATCCCTGGGAAAATGTACAAGGAATAGGTTTGTAACTTGTTAGGTTTGTAAACCGTGTATCCATTTTTAAATACATAAAAATTTAAAATAAATGAGACAACCCAATAGAACAATTGGCAAAACACTTGAACAGGTACTTCACAGAAGAAAATCCAAACGTGAAAAAATGCTAATTTTCATTAGTCATCAGGGAAATGCAAACTTCAACCACAATGAAATACTATTTACATACCCACTAGAATGGCTAAGATGAAAAAACACCAAGTGCTGGTGAGCGTGCAGAGAAACTGGGACTTCCATCCACTTCACTGCTGGGGGCAGGAATGTGATTGTTAAACCACCCCACAGGACCGTTAGGGGTATCTACTGAAGACAGATGGAAAGACTTGTGATAGAATGTTCCCGAAATACACAGTACAGCATTGTTCATGGATATTCAGGTTGTTTGCAGTTTGGGGCTAGAATGAACAAATAGTAGTATACCTATACAGTGAAATATAATACTATACAGAATGAAAGTGTCCACTACACACAAGTAAATCTCACAAACAGGATGTTGAATAAAAGCTCAGAATTGGGCAAAACTGACCTTTGGTATAGGAAGACAGGGCAGGGCTGTGACTACCACTGTAGTGGGGATGCTAGGGGGCTAGTAATCTTCTCTTTCTTGAGCTGGGTGCTAGTTGTATGAGTGGTCACTTGGTAAAAATTCAGCCTTGTACATTTATGATTTGTATGCTGGTACTTTAACAGTGGGAGAGAAAGAGACTTCCAAGGGCTGTATAGTGGAAAAATCAGAAATTTATTCAGAATGGAGTTTGGGTGGTTTCTTATTTTTTCCACTGAGATTGTGATGTGGAATGCATCAGCCAGATCAGGGAAGCAGAAGGCCGAAGCTCCCCAACCCAAGGTGTTGAGCAAGGCCCAGGAAGTCTAAACAACCCAAAGTGGAGTGACTTGTTCCTGAATCCCTTTTCACTAGGCCACCTCGCCTCCGGCTTCAGGTAGAGCCCTTGGGGGCAGCAGGCCTGTGCCTTGGGCTCTGCGTTCTCTGGAGTCCCAAGCTGGCTCTCTCCTGCCCTTCAGCGTGTCTTCCTCCCTGGCACATTATTAAAAATTCCTCCTTCTCTCCCATTCCTGCGACAGTGCAATACCCAGCAAATGAATGAATGAACATGCATTGGCTGGCCCCTTGTTCAGATGAAGAAACAGGCCCACCGAGTTGAAGGAGTGTGCTGAAGGTCATACAACTGGGAGAGGAGCTCATAGCCTCCTGCTCCTGAAGCGCCCTCTACAGGAAGAAATGTGTATACACATGGCTGATTCATTTTGTTGTGCAGCAGAAGCTAACACAGCATTGTAAAGCAATGATACTCAAAAAAAAAAGAAAAGATACTAAGGAAAAAAAAAAAAATCCTGAAAAAAAAGAATCTGATCTGAGAATGAAGCCCACCTCAAAGGGAAGCAGTCAAGAAGATGAGAGAGATGAGACCAAGTTCTGATGATGTCACTTGGCCCCTGTATCCAAGTTGGCCCCTGGGGTTGGCTGGGCCAACCCCAGAACTTTTCAGTCATGTAAGCCACTGTATTCCTACTATTACCACTTTACCATTTTTTTGGGGGGGGGGTGTCTTGAGGCATGCAGGACCCCAGTTCCCCCACCTGAGTCAAACCTGCACCGCCTGCAGTGGAAGCTCAGTCTTAACCACTGGACCACCAGGGAAGTCCCTATATTCCCTCTTTTTGAAAAACCAGTTTGCCTGGACTTTTGTCACTTACACATTTACATTCTGGTAAATATACCTCCCAGGTCCAAACACACTAGTTCTATATTTCCTCGAATTACCAGTATAGATTTCGTATCTTGAAATCTCATGGTTAACCCAGCATGACTTGATCTTTGCCACTGGTGCTTCCTCTTCTGAGGGGTCACAGATGTTTTTCATGAGTCATCTGTCCTGAATGTTTCCCAGGCCCAATGTCTAGTTCACTGGTCTGTGGTTTGCAGAATTTACTTTCTTCCCCTTTTTAAGTAAAATGGCTGTGTCATGTGCTTCTCTCCAACCTTCTGGCAAGTTCAGAAGATCTTTTCTGAGGTTTGGAGAGAGAGATGAATCTCTTGAGGACAAATGATATTTCCCCCAAATGGAGTCTGACCCTGAATGAACCCTCATTTTCCCATTTTCCTGAATAGTTGGAATCACCAGAGTGAGAACAAGGCTGCAGGAGTCCACTTCTGGTGCTGGGTTCACTCACTGAACCAAGGTAGGACTTCCTCCAGTCACAGGTACGATCCTCCTCCATTCCATACAGTCTTCATGATGGTCCTGTAGCCTGCGGGATGCCCCCATCTGTAGTGCCCACATAAGGGAATGAACACCGTCTTATACTTCTCTGAATTCACACGAAGCTTAAAAAAGCCAGAGATCTGTTTCTCACAAATGATGACTACGCGGAGTTGGTCATGCAAATTCGAAATGGACCAGAAGCAGCTGAGGTGCTGAAGGCCCCACGCCTTCTTATAGAACCGCAGCTCCCAGCTCTTTCCTTCCCTTTGGTCCCTTAAACTTTCTCAAGCAAGTCTTAACAGGCCACCTTCCCAGGGACCAGCAGCTCCATGTGTGGGGCACAAGAAAGACACCTGATCGTCAATCCACAGGCCGTCTTTTCTTCTAAGTGGCAGAACTCCAGTTCCTCCTGCCTAACTCCTCGACTTCAGAGAACGCCCCCCGCCCCAGTTTTCTGAAGCTGACATTCTGCCCTAGTTCAGATGCCAGGGCATTTATTTAAAGGTCGAGCCTTATAAGGGCTTCCCTGGTGACTCAGTGGTAAAGAATCTGCTTGCCAATGCAGGAGATGCAGATTCGATCCCTGGGTCAGAAAGATACTCTGGAGAAGGAAATGGTGACCCATTCCAGTATTCTTGCTGGGGAGATCCCATGGACAGAGGAGCCTGGAGGGCTGCAGCCCATGGGGTCGAAAAGAGTTGGACACAGCTTAGTTACCCACCCAAAGGCACTCTATAGCTCTGCCGTGTAGCTCTGGCACTGTCTTCAGAGAATTTGCAGTGTCATAACTCAGGCTGTTTCACTAGGTGCTAGAACCAAGCTTGCCATAACCCAAAATGTTTGGGGGGGGGGTCCATTTACATTCCTATGCTTGCTCTTGAACTGAAAAATCTTCCAGATGCATGTATGACTGAGTTGTTTTGCTGTCCACCTGAAACTGTCACAACATTAATCAGCTATACTCCAATATAAAATAAAAAGTTAAAAAAAAAAGTGTCCGAAGCACACATATTTTTTACGTTTTGTGGTTTTGGTTTGTTCTTTTGAAGAGATGTGGAAGAAACCCAAGCCGGACAGCCCGAAAATTGTGTTTACTGTATCTGGTGAAAAGATGCTGATGGGCGTAGGAGTTCTGGAGCAGAAAGTGGAATCCATCAGCTTTTTAAGATGCCCCCCCCTTTCAAAAAAAAATCAATGGGCCTCACGGTGCCCTTCCGTTCCATACATCCTTGCCTGACTTGTTTCACAAGTTCCTTAATGTCAAGGCTTCAGCCTAACTGAAACAGGCAAGCAGGAAATGGCATAAGGGGATCCCTGTCTTAAAGGTGCGGACACCAGGGCGGGGTAAAGCAACCCGAATCAGGTTATACTTCCTTCCCGGGCTTCCCCACCTCCAGAATCACCAAATAATCCACTCATCTGCCCGCAGACCGGCCTGCACCCACCCCCCACTCCCCAGCTCTGCTCAGCCCGGGAGAACACCCTAGTTTTTTGAGCAGATCCAGGAAACGGGGGTTGCGGCGACCTTCTGTTTGAGGTCCCCAAGAGTGCTCCCGGGGGGGGGGGGGGCGCGGGGAAGAACCATGCCTGCATCCGAAAGGCGGCCCCAGCCCGGGAGCCCGGGAGAGCCTCGGAGCCTCGGGCGAGGGTGGCGGCCCCACCCCGGCACGTGACGCTGCTTCCGGTCCGCCCCGCGCCTGCGCAGTCCAGGCGGGGGCCGGGGGGGCGGGCCCGGGCTGCTGACTGACAGCTCGCGCGGGCCGGCGCCTCAGAAGTACCCGGCTCCGGGGCTGGCGCCTCAGAAGTACCCGGCTCCGAGGCCGGCGCAGTGACCGCGCCGCCGAGCCCGAAGGCGCCCGCCCGAGCGCTCGCTCCCGGGCCCGCCCGGCCGGCCGGCCGACCCCCGCCGTGGTGAGAGGGGCGGGGGGCCCGCTGGCGCCCGTGAGGGGGACGGCGTACCGGGCTCTGTGGGCGGCGCGGGGACTCGCTTTCCGAGGGGCGACAGCCGAAGCGCCCGGGACCGGCGGGTGAGGGGTGGTCGGGTGGGGGCCAGGGCCCCGGGGGGCTCTGCGGGGTCGGCCTCGGCTCTCGCAGAGGTGAGGAAACGGGAAGAGGGGGCCAAGAGTCCACCTTGCGGGGAGCAGGGCGCTCCCTGGGTGGGTGGGGGGGCTGGAAAATGTGTCCCCATCCCTGGCGGCTGACGGTATCTCCAGGTGACTTAGGAATGGAGCCCGTTCCCCAGTTTGGGGGGAGGAACCCCCCCACTCCTGCACGAGCGTGCTGGGGAGGGGCTTCCTCGAACCGGGATGGGGAAGACTCTTGGCGAGTTGTGCTGCGTGCTGGGCTTTAAGTTTCCTGCCCCTCTGCTTCTTAGGTGGCAGCGGGGGCGGTGTGGGGGCACAGGAGAAGGGCTCGGCTCGCCTCCCCGGGGTCCCCTCCTCCCCGCGGTGGTCGGGAGCAAGAGGAGCTTTGCCGCGGGGCCGCGGTACCCGCGCTGTGGAGAGCAGCTGCTTCAGGGTGGCCTGGCCCAGGGACCAGGGTCTTGGAAAGGACAGGATGGGGCATTTTCTGGAGCTGGGTGCGTGTTTCGCCTTGCGTGGGGTCTGGGCTTCCCCGGGTTGTAGGCTGATTGGATTTGGGAGGAGGAAGAGGACTTGGTTAGTAGGCACTGGCCAGCTCCTGTGACTCTGGTTAAGTGTGAGGCCAGGGTGCCCCCTGCAGACTGGGCAGGAACCCACCTCTGAGCTGGCACAGGTGAGGAGCTTGACGTGCAGCTTGACTTGCGGGGGTGAGTAAATGCTAGGGGCAAGCTGACAGCTGTCAGGGACCAGGCCACCCTCCAGACCACTGTCACCTAAAGCTGAGGTTTGGCGCTCATTTGATTCTAGGCACCCCCTCCCTCAACCTAAACCAGGGCAACCATGGTTGGATGCTTAACACTGAATTAAGCAAAGGAAAAAATTTCATTTGTATTACACGTGAGCGCTCCTTTCCATCTTTCCGTGGTTCTGTTTGGAAGTGTGTGTGTCCCCCTTGTTCCATCTCTCCCTTGGGCTGTCACTGGCTTTTGTTTCCACTTGGTGCAGAAATAGGACTGCTTATGCATTTGAAGCACAGGGCGATCGGCTATTGAGATCAGCTCACAGTGAGAAAGTTGACTCATGAGGTTCTTTTTCCATGAAAGAGATGAAGATGGTTGAGGACTCAGGCATATGCACTTTACTGAGCAGATTATCTCTAACTTCTCATTTGGTTCTGGAATACATTCCTGTGATTTCCTGCTGTGTTTGTCTTTTGTATGGCATGTATGGGTTAATGTGAAGATAGTTTGTATTATTTGAGAACACAACAACTAAGGCCAATGAAAAGCCAGTGACCTGAGTAAATCACAAACCTTAAATAATTTGCTACAGATTTCCAGACAGTGCAGAATATCCAAAGATACTAGACGTGGTCCTTTTTGCATGACAGTCAGCTTTGGTTCTTCAGAGGTAAACTGCTTTAGGGTGACCCCCAAATGGCTCTGAAGGGCTTCTCAGGTGGGTCAGTGGTAAAGAATTTGCCTGCCAATGCAGAAGACATAGGTTTGATCCTTGGTCCGGGAAGATCCCTGGGAGAAGGAAATGGCAACCCACTCCAGTTTTCTTGCCTGGAGAACCTCAAGGACAGAGGAGCCTGGCAGGGTACAGTCCGTGGGGTTGCAGAGAGTCAGACGTGACAGAGCAACTGTGCAGCGACAAAATGGCTCTGAGGGGACTTCTTTTAGGACAGTTTTTAGGAAAGGTTTAAGGTGGAATGAGTCATGCTACCTGCCTCTGTCTCTTTTCTCCTCCTCTCTCAAAAGAAAATAATAAGGTGAAAAGAAACATCAAAAGCATTTCTCTCTGGGAAGAGAGAAAGTCAGGGAAAGTCAACCCATATGACCTGCAAAGGGAGGAGTAAAAATCCCAATTGCCAATGCTAACCCCTCACTTTTACACCACAGGGTAATTTGTAAAGGATTCTCACACACAGAATCTTAACTGATCTTCATAAATGTCACGGATGAGGAAACAGGCTAAATGGCTTGCTCGTGGTCACTTAGCTAGTAGGGGCAAAGCAGAGTGTTCAGCCTAGCTGTCTGACACCAGATGCAGTGGCCCATCACTGCTCTGCGGAGCGGGATTCAGGATGCGGGCCGATGACACACACATCCCAGGGCCCGAGGGTTCCCAGCATCCCTGCCTCCCACTGCTTTCCCCGCTCGCTAAGGCAGCATGGCTCTCAGGCGTAGATGCTCTCCACCACTTCCTTCTACCCCAGGCTTGAGCATCTGCATGTACTCAGATTTGTTTATAGGTCCTTGAGAAACCTAGTGGGAAGTATGATTGCAGGGAGTGTTTTGCTCAAGCGCTCAGAGTTTCCTAATAGTCTAGGTGTCTTTAGCTGTGTGATGCAACAGACCCAAGGCAATTCTAGGGACATTTGCCATAATCGTTTTCCTTGTCCTCCACCCGGAAGAAAAATGCA